CGCGACGCTCTCCTCCGCCGCGCGCGCGTGCGCGAGCGGCCCGGGGTGGTGGTGGAGGCGGAGGCCGGCGGCGAGGTACCTGCTGGCCGCCGACGCGGCGGCAAAGGCGGGCGTGCAGCTGGATGTCCCCATATCTCCCCATATCTCCCCATATCTCCCCATATCTCCCATATCTCCCCAAAGGCGGGCGTGCAGCTGGACGTCCCCATATCTCCCCATATCTCCCCATATCTCCCCATATCTCCCATATCTCCCCAAAGGCGGGCGTGCAGCTGGACGTCCCCATATCTCCCCATATCTCCCCATATCTCCCATATCTCCCCAAAGGCGGGCGTGCAGCTGGATGTCCCCATATCTCCCCATATCTCCCCATATCTCCCCATATCTCCCATATCTCCCCAAAGGCGGGCGTGCAGCTGGACGTCCCCATATCTCCCCATATCTCCCCATATCTCCCATATCTCCCCAAAGGCGGGCGTGCAGCTGGATGTCCCCATATCTCCCCATATCTCCCCACATCTCCCCATATCTCCCCATATCTCCCCATATCTCCCCATATCTCCCCAAAGGCGGGCGTGCAGCTGGACGTCTTCGATCAGGCCTCAACTGTTACTTATCAAAGCTGTTCATACTATTTCTGCTCGTAATAATTAGCGGCTGGATGCGTTTGACCAGGCGTCGCAGCGAGGAGAGTGGACGCCCACCGTTTGGCCAGCCGGCGCGCTTCCCAGCCTCTTCACGGCGCGTGGTGTGAACAGGGTCGCTCGACCAGTACGTCGAGCCCATCCGCCGGGTGCCCAGCGGCTCCTGCCGCGCCGCAGCGGCCGACGAGCCGCCGGCCGCCGAGGAGAGCGACGAGGACCAGTCGGCGGCCCGGCTGTGATTCAGTACAATGACTCATTCCTGATTACTAATGAATAGTTGAGCGACGAGGCCCCGTCGGCCGCGAGCTCAGCTGTCGGGTCGGCGACCGCCAGTTCAGCCACGCCCTGTCTCGCAGCTCTCACAGCCAGTGAGCGGAAGCACACCTGAGCCCGCCTCTCGCGGAAGCGGGCGGCGATCTCTCGCGCGGGGAGAGGTGGGCAAGGCGCTTTTCACATATCTCACGGCGTGGACGACCGATGTTAAAGGTACAATGTAATAAGCTCCCCACGCACACACAAAGCAAATGGCGGATTGGAAATCTACTCTCGTTTCGAAACAGTGGTTTTCCTCAACACCCTGTCCCTGACCCGCGCGGAGTGTTGGTGAGATGGTGTCGCGGGCACGCGGGTCGCCACAACCACGGGGCCAAGAGAGGGATATCATATGTGTTGCAAGAAGTCCAGAAAAATCGAGACGTTGTCGTAAACTCAAAACTGCTATGTGTCGTAGGTGTGTGTGCCGGCCCGCTATGTGTGCACCTGATGTGCACCCCGTGTGTCCTGCCTTGCTTGAGCACTTGAGCACTGGATAGGGTCGATTCCGCATGTGGTACGGCTACGGGACCCCTCGATCGATCGTCTCGCTCGCCCTCCCTCGCGCTGGTGTGTTCAGGGGGGGGGGGGGGGGGGTGTCAAGGGGTCATGAAAGGTTGGCCCTTCCTCGGGGCAAGTCTAGATCCTGTCGTCCAAAATGATGACGGAACCCCGAGGCAGGCCCTTTCAAAACTATGTATGTATGTCGAACGATTTTCGGGCCTGGGATGGTTGGATAGTAGGGCTAAAAAAAGGGTCCCTCTACACTTAACCTCTGCAGCGAGGGAGCGCCCAGCTTAACCCCCGCACGGAGCCGGGCTCGGACTTAAACCCTGTATGGTCGGGGGCCATGAACTTAGACGACATAAGGCCAACTCCGGGTAAAACCGGGTATACCCCAAGCCTCCAGGGGTACCCCCCAAAAATCGTAAGAGCCCCATACATTGAAAATACCTGGACGCGTCCCGACCAAAGTATGCCGCGCGCACGACGCCATATCGCCTTGTCCCAGGGCCAGTGCGCTACTTGCGGCGCGCAACTCCTGCTCAAGTACGCGCACCGTACCATGCTGCCGCTATGCGTGTCTTAAGGCGGCTGCGGCGAAGCGGCGGGCGCGGCATGCCGATGGCAGTGCGGACGATGCTGTTGCGATGTGTTCTGCTTCAAGATCGTAGCGGTGCTTGGCATGCACTTCTGCGATCCCAATCAGCTCATCGCAACGAAGCAGCGCAACAAGCTGGCTGCTGCCAACAAGGCCCTATGCTACCTCACGCGCGGATCGTTCAAAGAGGACCAGCATACACAGGCTTCTATGCGTTTGTTTGAGCTTGAGGCTATTTGTGAGAAATGTTTGGAGCGGCCGCACATTGCTCGGTACCCCCCCTGCCCTTCTAAAGTCACGGCCGATCCCCCCCCCCCCAGCAGCAGCGCTCTGCCTGTGGGGGGTGCTGGCATCTCTGTACAGACAGCAGCTGTAAGTAGCATGTGTTCCAGTGGCGAGAACTTATGGTCGACACCAAAATCAGTGGTCTCACCGGCGGGCCCTGCTACTGCCAACCGGACTCGAAGGCGCGGTGAACACAACCG